CGGTGGGGTTGTGTCGTCGTCTTCGTCTGTTGGGCGTTCGTTTTCGTTCGCATGCGGTCGTCTCGTGGGCATTCGTGGGCGCTGCGGCGTTCATGGGTGGGCGGGCTCATTGGTTGTCGTGTCGTGGGCGTTCGGTGTCGTGTCTGGGCGCTTGTTTCTTTTTGTGGGCGCTCGTGGGCAGTGGGGGTCGTGTGGGGCGGTGTGCGTCGTTTGTGGGTGGGCGGGCTCGTCGGTTGTCGCGTCCGTTCGTCATTTGGTTGCCACATCGCTGACTGCGACGTCGCACCTGGTTTGTTATTGTCAAAAGGTGGACTGGGAGGGGTTACCCAGTCCACTTACCTGGGCTGCAGTCGAGGCGGAACGTCCATCGACATTCCGCGTTGTCGTCATCGCCTCCCATCCGTGTGACGTGGTGTTGCCACGTCGTGTGGCTCTTGTAATGGTGGGGTCGTTGTTGACGACGTTGCGTGTCGTCGTGCATCGTCAGCATGGTCGTCGTCGTCAGCGTGGTCGTGGTCGTGGTCGACGTCGATGTCGCGGGCGGTCGTGGCTTGAGACGGTGGGGTGGATGGTGATGGTGATGGTGTAAGGAAGAAACGACGTGGCATTGGCAACACGTCGTGTCACGTTTGAGACACCACGTGACAAAAGGCGGTATATACATACCTTTACTTTCCCATCTAATAATGCCTTTGTGGCTCAGTTGGTTTGAGCACTGCTAATATTGACGAGGTTGAGAGTGGTGTTGCACAATCCTTGGTAAGTGTGATGACCAGTGACATGCCGTGACATAGCGTCACAGGGCCAATTTCTTGAGACATGGACTTTGTACCTTCCACAACACCAATTCAATATATTTTTTGCACTGGGTTTGAGGGAATGATGTGATTGAATCCACTGAGAGAGTTTTCCATGTAGAAATTTTATTTATTGCTCCAAAAATGCGAAATCAGCTTGTTTTCCCTGCCAAATTTGGCACTCTGGAGAGATTGGACTATAGCTTTCCAACCACAACACGTATGAGCATGGTTTGTAGGAGGATATTACTTAGAATTTGAATTCTAATCGATCTACGGATTCAGAATTTTTATTTGTGGCCCCTATGTCGAGATCACCCCTAAGAATGGGCACTTTAACATAGTTATGAGGTAGTAATTAAAATTCTGGACCCGTAGGATTGAAGCCA